AGCCGAGGTGAGGGTGAACTTTGCTTCTCCGGGGGGCTCAGCCGAGTTAAACTGTAAGTCCCAGATTCTCCAGGTTCTGCCCCGGAGCTGGGGAAGGCCAATAAGCGATGCGGTTCGTGCCTGACGACTTGTGTTTGGGCAGGAGGCACTTTCCAGCAGCTTGGGTAAACACCTCCCTGAACAAAAGCTGCGTTTTCGGTTTCCTTCCCTGGTGAGACGTGACCAGGCAGCTTGGCGAGTCACACTTGCTGCTTCCAAATGGCTGCTACAGCCCCGGCCTCCTCTGCTCCAGGTTACAGCCCATCATCTGTCAGGCTGTACAGCCACTGCTCCAACCAGAGCCCTGCAGCTGCCTAAAATTAATCTTTCAGTTTAGATTTCCTGATTGCAAATGGATGTGTTGCAATGTTTCTGCTGACCCACTTCTTACTTTGGTGGAAACCCGTAATACTTAAGTTATAGCTAGAAATTTCTGTTCCCCAGTCCAGTGCTTAACCTCTGGAATGGCCTTTAATTTAGCATCCCCTGGGCCGTGCTCCTGGGGATACCAAATGAGTGCTGAGGACCTCTGACATTTCTTTTTAAATTCTGATCCCCCCATCTGCCTTCCCTCAGCTTTTCTGACAAAGCTGCCTTAAAGATACCCAAAAGCACATTGCCCACACTCCTACCTCTGTAGGCTCTCTCCTGCTGTCCTCTCAGGCCCGTTGTTTCAGCAGGGATCAGCACAGACACGGAGACAGTCACTAGGGAAAAAATTCCTGAGGTTACTCAACAGTGCTTTGTGTGACTGGTAAAGCCCCAGCACAGATCAGTTTACAACTGTCCTGCCAGCTCCTTGCTGTCCATGGTAGTTGTAGTGCACAGCAGAAGAGACTTGGCAGGGGTGTTTAAAAAATCAAGTAGATTATTAATTATTATCCACTTCAAGTGTCCTTCAATTGCTTTTTTTTTTTTGGTGCCTGAGAGCACTGCAGAGTTGCTTTTGAAGTCTTTGATAAGCTGTAAGGCCTCTGCCCAGGTAAAATTCTTACCCACTTCAGTGCAAATCTGGCAGAGTTTGGGCTTGGGGGGTCTCTTACCTGGGCAAGCAAAAAGCTTCTCAACAAGTGACACACGTGGGCTGAGCCAGTGAGTCCATCCAGGTGCTGAATCACTGGAGGCAGAGGGTCACACACCCCCTGCTGGGACTGTGTACCTGCCTTTGGTCACCCAGTGAAGGAGCTGTGCAGGGGGCACATTCGAGTGTGTGAGGTCACTGTGTGAATCCTGCTTTGGGTGGCAAAAAGCCCCTTTTTTTCCATGTGTTTCAACACCTTTTTGTTGATTTATTTTTCCGAACATTCCTGAACCCGGAGTTCCCTTTCTGCCACGTGCATCTTATCATGCTGATTTTACACCAAAGCCTGCAAGCACATCATGAAGTCTGGAGATGCTTCAAACACTTCATAATGTGGCTTGTGCTGGCCCACAGCTCTTTGTCAGTCAAAGAACAATCTGTTAGTTAAACAGCACAAAAAGGGCTTAGAGGATACTAACTTTGACTCTAATCCTTACTGCTTTACTTTTTATCCCCTTTAAAAGGCTGTCAAAGGGTTGTTGACCTGCAGCTGCCTCAAAAGAGAAATCCATGCTGGTCTGGCACCAGGTGCCCTGATACTAATTTCAAGGACTCCCTGCAGAGTCCTGCAGAGGTAAAGTATCTTGGATGGTTCCTGAGCTAGACATCACAGCTCAGGGGTAAATAATACTGACAATGATGTGTTCTCCTTGTCTTCAACTGCTTCCAAAGATCCTGAAGTCCAGGGGTGTTTCTAGTCAGAAAGGACAGAAAGGACAGTGGCATGGCCACTGTGTTGGATAAACAGATCATTAGATATTACATAGTACACAGAAGCTGAAATGAAGTTATCAGGCCTCTTTAACTTGTTTCTTTCTCTCTCAGGGGGATAAACTCTGGGGAGGAAGATTCAGTGGAAGCACAGATCCAGTCATGGAGATGCTCAATGCTTCCATTTCCTATGATCAGAGACTGTCTGAAGTTGATATTCAGGGGAGCATGGCTTATGCCAAAGCCTTGGAGAAGGCTGGAATCCTGTCTAAAACTGAGCTGGAGAAGATCCTGGGTGGCCTGGAAAAGGTATGTCTTTCCTTCACAAACTGTGATGTGTGCTGGAATGAATGGCTCCTTACCTGACAGTAGCTTCCTTGTATTTAATAATCATCGTGGTATAAATACAGTGTGATAATAAACATCATCTGCTGATGTTTGTAGATCTCTGAGGAATGGTCCAAAGGAGTCTTTGTGCTGAAACCAACTGATGAGGATATCCACACTGCCAATGAACGCAGGCTAAAGGTTTGGGTTCTTTGTCCTCTTGTTCCTGTTCCTCCGTAGCTGGATCTGCCTGATGTCAAGGGCATGTGCCTCTGTCCCTCTGTGAAATTCCTCTGGACCCCAAGTGCACAGGCCAGTGTCTCCAAACCCCCTTCCATGGAAGTGTCACTGTACAAACACAGAACCCAAACCTGCCCTTCCCCAGAACACATCCCATGGCTACTCACAGGATCCTCAAGCTGAGTCCCTTCCAGGCAGGGAGATCTGCTCATGTGGAGTCTCTTGCTTAGAATACAGAGACACTGACAGAAATCCTCCTCTGGTCCTCAGGAACTGATTGGAGATGTAGCTGGAAAGTTGCAC